CTCATTAATTACGGTTTAAATTCAAATTTTTGGATCAATTAAATCATTTACTTCCCTCCTTTTCTGAATTAAATCAAACCCGACCCGTCATCCTTCCAAATCGGGTCTGGGGGGCAAGTTGTTTGGGTCCAATTTAGTCCAAATTGGGCCTAAGCACTAAATGATCCAATTAAAAGCCCAAGGTCAAGGTTCAACTCTCCAATTGTGCAAAAGTTAAAGGTCAGCCCACAAAGCAAGCCAATTGGGCTAAGGCCCAACCTCTCCATGTATGATGAGGTATAAAAGCCATCATATTGACACATTCATACATATTCACGTTCATATTCATATTCTGATTCATTGAGATATTCTGATATATTCCATAAAAGCCTCAAGCTACAAACTCTCTTGCATAGTGTCTTCTTCTTACACATTGTACTGACTTTAGCATCGGAGGGGCCTTCCTCGGCAACACCCCCGAGGCTAGTTTACGTGTGTTTACTGTGCAGGAAACCTTCGGCCCAACATAACTTGGACCGAATCCAGTCTTCTCCATTTCAGCGGACCTTCGGCAAGGTCCCATTGTTTTCACCCGAAACAACATATGAGTTAATGAGTAGCACTTTCATTAATGTCTTCTATTTCATCATGGGCCATGCATGCAATGCAATGTAATAAGCTAGTTAGTTGCATTTGCATTTGCATAGTTCTAAATAAACCATACATGAACAGGTTTTCACACTAATGAAGTTCGACGTGGTACTATAACCACTCACATTTATTTCATTGACTATGAAAAATTGAAAATGTAAGACATATGTCATGGTATTGTCAGCAAAATTTATTAGAAAACATGGATATTTCAAATCAAATTATATTTTTGAAAAATAAATCATAGACATTGTTTTAAAAAGAATTTTTTTTGGGTGTGGGGGGACGTGGGGTGTTGTGTGTGGGGATTAGGGGGGTTGGCTTGTTGAGGACCAACGTAATTATGCAAAATGATTATGTATAATAGTGGATCATGCATAATTTTAACTTTCAAGGTATTACATTTGCTTTTGTATAGTAACATATCTTAGAACTTGGATCCTATGTACGTGAGCTTGTTTACTATGCGTGTTATAGTTTAATTAAGGATTATTTTTTATTTTTTATAAAGTAATTTTAACATTAATAGGAGATTTTCGTGAATTTTCGAACTATATATATGTAAGGTTATTTTCTCATTATTATAACATGCATGTTTGTCTTTAAATATGTGATTATGGAGAAAGAAAACATCATACCTATTTGGCCCAAATAATACAAGTTTTATAAAACTTAAATTAGCACAATGTATAAACTTCCAACTTAAAAGCTAAGATCTAATTTGTTAGTCTTCAAAGTTAGATCACAAGAATGTTATTAGATTTTAATCAATTTACAAGAAGGTTTATATTATTCCTTACTTTACCAAATATAGTTCATAATTTAGAAAAAGAAAATAAAGCTAGTATGTCTCATTGGTACAACACAATAAATGAGTACTATTGAGTAAGATTCTTTAGAAATTTGGTGGAATTCAAAAGTATGTATGAACATGCAAAATTAGATGGAAATTTTTTTGGACTGCCGACCTTAATTAGTTAATTACGGTCACCGCGATGTAGACCATGATTGGATGAAAACTTCTATGTAAATGATATAATTTGGATTTACATAGTGGTTTTAAACTTCCTGACTCATTATACATGTTTACCTTATGCAAGTATATATATACCCCTACCGACTAATGTGACAAACCCGACCTAATTAGATATTTCAATATCTATAAAAACATATTATACGTATATCAATCACTGAACATAAAACATACATAATCTCACTCATTGCTCGCTATATCCTTTAAGAAAATGGCTTAATTACTTGATGCATGCTATGTTTGGCCGTAGAAAGATAGTACATAATCAAACTAGCTAGCCACAAATAATCGAATATTAAAAATAAAAAAAAAAATAAAAAATAAAAAAAAATCATGGAAGAGATACAATGTGTTTTCGGGGGCCTTTAGAAACTTAGGATAGTGCGTGATTCGTGTGTTTGTTATATGTTGTCTAAGCTAAAGGATGAAAAGACTAGCAAAAAAATTTTGTACATCCATGTATGTTCAAATTCTAGTACACATATATTGACATTATAAGAAATACACAACTATACCCTAATTATGTGACCGATTGCCATATTATATATTGACAAGAGACTTTATGTATGATCATTAATAGAAGTTGACCTCTCAATATTTTATAATTTCGTGGTTAATTATTTGCCAATTGTCATTATATTACAACATTATTATTTTAATTCCAATAATTGGAGTGATACATATCTTCCTCTCTTGTCTCCTCTATCCTAATTGAAAACATACGCCCATCATTTTCATGTGATATGTAATGACATACTTTTTGGGTAAACATTCTAGTAATTTATTAGGAACGTTTTTTCTTAATAAATTTAACCTAGTTCAACATTCAATTAGGGAGTAGTTGTTTTATAAAATAAAGGTAAGGAAGAAGAAAAGTGGAAGATGTAGAGAGAATATCATATTGTCCATATCTTTCATTAGACAATGACTACTATTTATACATGTACAAGTGAATATAGTAACTCCCTAAGAACAATGAAGAGTCACAATAATGTAAGAGTTATAATGGGAAACAATAAAGCAAAGGGAGTTACAAGGGGTTACTAAGGAATGTAATAATGTTAAGGGAATTACAAAACTATGCATATTGGATATTCATAACTATATTTCATAACACTCCTCCTTGGATGTCCATTATTGAAGATTATGCCTCATTAAAACCTTACTAGAAAAAACCCTATGGGATAATAAACCTAGTGAAGGAAAAAGAGTACATCATTCTTCATAATACGCTTAAGATGCTACCTCGTTAAAAACCTTATCAGGAAAACCCAGTGGAACAAAACTATGGTTAAGGGAAAAAGAGTGTAGCGCGTATTTCTCCCCCTGATTTTTACATCACTTTAGATTTTCAATGCAATTGATCCAATATTGATACAAGCAACTTCTCCAATGTAGCAGCAAAATTTTCATTGGTAATTGATTTTCCAAAATTTAACTTGAGTTTTCAAATCTTCACTTGAATCGTTAAATTATCTACTTGTCATCTGAATTATGAGAATAATACACATAGAATGTAATGATTTATATATCTCTTTCTTATGTACCAATATTTTGACAAAATTCCAAATACATATATCTTGATAATAACCTCATTTTAAATAAATACATATCCTCATATATAAGATAATGGTTCTTATCCAATTACATATATTTGACTTACTTGTACCTTCTTCTGGAGGTCATTAGTATATAGCTGATATTTATCAATATTTGATTTACACTCATAAAACATATAGAAATCATCATTGTTAAATAAGAATTATTGGTAACATGAATCATCTCAATGCGTCGCTTCTAATTTTTTTGGACTAGAACAAAATTAATTACATGGATAAGTATTTCATAATTGCAATTCTTTATACATTTTATATTTAATTTGAGAGTTCTCTTGAGAATACAAATAATGAAATATTACAACTCTCAATGCTCAACTTCTGGTTGAGATGTCATGAATTTAGTCCAAAATAATCTTTTAGAGTTTATACTATCTCATCAATGTTGCAATATTCAAAAGTAAAATTTTTAAAGATAGACATATAAATAAACAATATCTAAGTTCTTATGAACTCTTCTTAATTTCATTCATGGCTCATAACATGCTATTATAACATTAAATGCTTCTAAAACCATTAGCCAATTGGAGTTTGAATCTCTTCTTATATGCTTTCATAAAACATGTAAATTGTTCTTACAATGCTTGGCATGCATATTCATTTATACATCAAATCATAATTTGGAAAACAATTTCTAAATGCGATATGAAATTGGGGGTTATATGAAAGAAAAATCATACAATGATAAAAAATAGAACTTAATGATACATATAAATGATGCATTTATCAACTTCCTACACAAGAATATGAATGTAAGACTCAAAAATGCAAAACATTGCACAATGTGGATTTTATGATCCATATTTTGTTGGACTTCAGGTCCATGAGCTCTTTCTCATAATCATAATTATGTAGACATCAAAATGGACGTAAAATTCAGATTCCCTTTCCATAAGTCCATTAGTAGGGGCGGAGCTAGGGTGGGTTCAAGTGGGTTCATTGAACCCACTGATTTTTTGAAAAAAATTAAAAACTTTTTTTTTAAAAATAAAATAAAATAAAGAAATAGGTTTAAATAGAATATTTGTGTATTATATGGCAACAAGTAAAGCTGTAGCCCAGTGGTTATTTTTACCTCCCATCACACAAGAGTTTGTGGGTTCAAAACCCGTAACTCACATTATTTTTTTTTTTATTTTGTTTCCTGAGCTTACCTTCCCAGCTTTCTTCTTCCTCATTCCCCCAAATTGCAAAACCCTAACTTCTTCCTCCTTCTCTTTCCGGCGCAGCAGAACACGGCGGCACGGCAGCAGCCAGCAAACCCACCGTCACAGCCTGACAGCCGTGTATGTAGGTAAGTGAATTTGGGGATTTTTTTTTGCAAATGTAATTTACTTCTCAATTTGGGGATTTTTTTTTGCTAAATCGTTGAATACTTGAAATTCATATGCTAATATAAATTACGAATTGGGGATTTTTTGTAAATTGCTGAAGTTTGGTTATAATTTGCTAATTTACTTCTCAAGTTCTCAATTTGGGGATTTTTTTTTTGCTACATTGTTGAATTTCATATGCTATTTCCGTATTTCGTTTTCTGCCTTCTGGTTTTCATAATTTCATATACTATTTCGTTTTCTGCCTTCTGGATTTCGTTTACTAATTGACTGTAATCTTTAATTACGATAATTTTAATTAGCCTTCTGGATTTATCATTTATTCATTGATTTCATTCTGCATTTATCATATGTGTGTAGCACAGTAGCAGACTAGCAGTATATACCATGAGTTTAGAGTCATTTTGGAAACGTGCCGGGAAGTCACAAAAATCTTCAACTTGTTCTTCACCTAGTTCAAGGGATCCTCCAATAGAAGAACATGTGTCTCCTAATGGTGATGAGGTTCCTATTGCTGCAACAATTCCACCACCTGAGAACACAGGTCCAAGTGTTCCAAATACTGTTGTTGACTCCGATGATACTCGTATTTATGATGTTGATCTTCTTCCACATGACCCTGGAAAAAGAATTCCAATTATGGAGTATCCTCCTAATGATCGAGATGCCGTAAGGAGAGGCTATATTACAAAGAAACATTGTGATCCACGCACAAATAATTTTCCTCAAAGAAAAGTTGGAGGTATGCGCCGTTTTAATGTTACTTGGTTTGATAAATATGAGTGGCTTGAATATAGTGTTGAGAAAGATGCGGCTTTTTGTTTTGTGTGCTATTTGTTCAATGATAAAGTTGATTATTCTTTGGCTGTTAATGATTCCTTTATTAAAGGGGGATTTAGAGGATGGAATAAGACTGGTAGATTTGATGTTCATGTGGGTGGTCTTGGTGGTTTCCATAATCAGGATAATGAGAAATATAGTATGTTTATCAACCCAAAGACATCAGTTGCTGAATCTCTTTGCACTTATTCTAAGGAAGCTAAACTACAATACAAATCTCGCTTAACTTATTCATTGAAATGTATTAGATTTCTTTTAAATCAAGGTTTAGCTTGTCGTGGGCATAATGAAAGTGAAGAATCTTGGAATAGGGGTAATTTTCTTGCACTCTTAACATGGTTTTTATAAAATAATAGTGAGGTAGCAAAGGTTGTTCTAGGTAATGCCCCGGGAAATAATCGAATGACTAGTCCTCCAATTCAAAAAGAACTTATTAATTGTTGTGCCAAAGAAACCACTAGACTTCTTATTGATGATATTGGGGATGACTATTTTGGAATACTGGCTGATGAATCTAGTGATGTATCTCAAAAGGAACAAATGGCCCTTTGCTTGCGTTATGACAATAATAAAGGGAAGATAAATGAGAGGTTTCTTGGAATTGTACATGTTAAGGATACTACTGCTTTGTCAATAAAGAGTGCAATTGAGTCTTTGCTTATGGAATATTCATTGAGTTTGTCTAGAGTTCGTGGACAAGGTTATGACGGTGCTAGTAATATGAAGGGGGAGATAAATGGTCTCAAGACTTTGATTATGAATGAAACAAAACAAGCCTATTATATTCATTGTTTTGCTCACCAACTTCAATTAACCCTTGTTGCTGTTGCTAAGGATAATGATGATTGTATTTGGTTGTTTGATCAACTTTCTATTTTGTTGGATATTATTGGTGTTTCTTGTAAGCGAAGGGAAATGATAAGAGAAATACAATCTCAACATATTCTATAAGCATTAGAACTAGGAGAAATTGAAAGTGGGTAAGGTTTAAACCAAGAACATGGCTTAGGTAGGCCTGGTGATACTAGGTGGGGATCACATTACAAAACTGTTTCAAATGTTACCGCATTATATGTTACTATTGTTAAAGTTCTTGAGAAGATTGGATCAAATAAGATTTTATAAGGATGATCGCGCGAAGACTATCACTGTCATGTCTACATTTGAATCATTTGAATTTGTATTTATAATACATTTGATGTCCGAAATATTTGGGATTACTGATAAATTGTGTCAAGCTCTGCAAAAGGGGGACCAAGATATTGTTAATGCCATGACATATGTTAAATTGACTAAGGAGGGATTACAACAAATGAGGGACCATGGGTGGGAAGACTTTTTACATCTTGTGGTTTGTTTTTGTGTTAAACATGATGTAGAAGTTCCTACTATGGATGATATGTATGTTCCTCGTGGAAGGTCAAGACGCTTCTTTGCCAAAGTTTCAAATCTTCATCGATTTCGGGTAGAAATGTTTATAAGTGTCATTGATTTACAACTCCAAGAGCTCAATAGTAGATTTGATGAAGAAAATATGGAGTTACTTATTTGTGTGTCATGCTTAAACCCGATCAATTCATTTGCGGCATTTGATATGCAAAAGTTGTTGAGACGTGCCGAGTTATATCCCAAAGAGTTTCTAACTAATGATATGACGATGACTGCACTTCGTCATGAGCTTCAATTTTATATTAATGATGTGCGCCAAGATGCAAGGTTTGGAGTCTTGATGGGTATTCATGAGCTTTCTATGATGCTTGTTGAAACAAATAAGCATACTACTTACAACTTAGTTTACTTGCTTATAAGACTAGCATTGATCCTTCCGGTTGCAACTGCAAGCGTGGAACAAGTGTTTTCATCAATGACATACGTAAAAAATAAGTTGCAAAATAGTATGGGTGATCAACTATTGAATGATAATTTAGTCACTTTTTTTGAGAAAGATTTATTTTCAAGAGTTAGTGATGATGATGTATTGGAACGCTTCCAAAGTATGAAGACTCGAATAATGCTTCTGTAGTTTTTTTTTTTTTTTTTTCATTTTTCAATGTGTAGTCTATTTGTAATCCATAGTTTGAACTTATTTATGTACTGAATATTTAATTATTATATTTTTATTCCTTTGTTAATTACGATTTCAAATTTCCGAAGTTTCGAACCCACACTACGAAAATCCTGGTGACGCCACTGTCCATTAGTAAGTGCATATGCAAAAATATATCGGTTCCATCGTATACAAGTATCATAAAAATTCTTTCATGTAATATATAATATCTGAATACTTCTTCCATATACTTTGCTCATATTTTAGGTCATCTTATATACTTCAGATATCTATTTCACTTTTGGGGCATCCCATGCAATATTATTTTATCAATGTTTATGCCCTCTAAAATTATCAACTGCACTATCTTGCCATGTATCATATCTTAATATTGGAACCGATCATATAATCAACACTTCAGGTGTAAAAATTCAAGCAAATGTTGGCAAGATTCATCTCAAAGTATGCACATAATATCACTATAACCAATATGTATCTTCTACGCCTTTGAATGGGTCATAACTGAATACAAATCAAATCATAGAGTTATGTACAACATATCTTGATAACATATAAATAAAAGTTGGCATATAACAAACTTTTCAAATTAACAATTACGGGGATCAAGTAATAATTCCAAATTTTTGTCAACTTATTCTAGTTTTTATCCCCCTAAGTTGGTAAAATATCTCAAATATAGTGGCACTAAATTCTTGACCAACTTTGAATATAATTTCATGTGTAACAAATTTTTCCATTAGGAGAACCATAATCAACAAATTTTTATCTCTTTTGGAGAATAATGTAATTTTTAAATGCATTTTCGATAAATATTTCATAATTTTATTCTCTTCAGAAGATCAATATTAATGGGGAGTCATGAATCGTGCAGTTATCTCTTTCTTATTTTATTTCTTATGTGATGACATATGATAGCCCTAATCAAGAGATTATTTTACTAATAAAATTACTTTTATGTAATATATACCACCATATATGGTACGGTGATATTCAAGTCACCTGATGCTTGGCTACATATAAGTTATTGTGGTAAACTTTCTGTTAACCTATTACTTGTTTGCATGCAATGTTGTACTGCTCAAAGCCAATACTTATCTCTGGACTTTTTTCAAATCAAACTATGAAAAATCACATGATTCAAATAGTGTTCAATCACAATGTATGTCATGTCTTGGCTTTCAGCCCATATTATACATGTGACATGAAATAAAGTCAGCACATTAATTATTTCTTTATATCAAATAAAAGTTTAATTTTTTATAGTGGGTACATTAAACTCGGATGACCTAACTTATCACATCCAATAATTTTTCCAAATCTAACTTCTCATTATTCTAAAAACATTAGTGATCACTTTATACAAATTGCTCATACATAGCCATATATATGATGTGATATATATAAGAATTCCATTCCAAGATGTGTTTTTCGGCAAAACGATCGACTAATACTCTTATTAATAATAATTCATACTCTTGAATATTAATTATAATTAGATACACGTCAATCTTGTTGGAGAACATACATATGGTACTCTTCTGGAGTATCCTATGTAATCTTGGTACATATCATTTTTTTACTTGGCATAACTATTGTCGAACAATGTCTAACTCATATAAGAAATGATACTTATTCATCATATCCATCTTCTGGATGGTGTAAATGTATATATATAATCATTCCTTGCATCGACATTTAAACTAAAGTGTGTATCAAATTGATCATCAATATATTATATTAATTAGACCATGCAAGGATTACATAAAATAAAAGCTAATCTCCCCCTAAACCTTGCATATGGGGTATGAAAAATTCAACCACCATTTAAAATGCAAGCCGACCTTTTAAGTCTTTTAATTAGTCACTTGACATTGTCATGTATCAATCAAAGTATTTATAGGCACATACTTTAATATTTAACTATAACAATGTGTATACGTAAATATGCTTAGATATAATATTTCTTATATAAATCTTGATCATGTTCCTCATGCTCAATTGTATCAATCATTAAATTAGAATCTTTTATAAGCATTGATGTAACAAATAGATCAACCAAGTTAAGTTATTATTATGTCATAGCCTATCATAGTCAGTTTAATTTCTTAATCTCATAAGTCAGTCTTCCTTTCTCATTTAAATTAACCTTTAATAACTTCTACATACCTGAATTGTAATAATCAAGAATTATCATGCAAACATACTTGTTATCCTTCCATCAAATAATCTCACATTGGTTATGAGTATATCTAGTTGGTTATGAGTTAACATACATATTGTTGTGTTTACCCATACTTTAGTAATTTGTTCATTCACTACTAGATAAAGTACATCAACTATTCAAAATAACCTTTCTTGATTAACATTATTTTCATTATATCATGTCTACAATACCATATGAATTCCATGGAAGGAGAGCGTCTTGTCAACATATTATAGAAACTAATTTAATTTTCTTAGCCACTTCCTTCTTTTATTACTCCATATGAAAATACATAAATTTTTCTTTATCATTGTGAGAAACTTCAGACCCGTATATATCAATTATTTGGTAATTCTCTACATTCTTTGACTAGTATATAATAAAACGGTCTTCTACCAAAAGAGTATATATATGGTATAATTACTTAATTTAATCAAAGGTAGGCTTAATGGTTACATTTGTAACACAACATATATACTCCATAACAAATATAATAGTTAATTTTAACAAACTTTGAAAACTAGTATCCCCTCATTTTAATCAATCCAAATATAGTACATGATTTTTATATCATAGCAAAACATTCTAGTTTTAATCTAACATCATGTTTTCCAATGCAAAAAAAAATATCAAAATTGTATATCCTTTACTAATATTAATAAGGTTCTAGATAAATGTTTAATCATCTAATCTACTTGCATCTTTCAAATTAAATAGTTAAGTACAAGCACATACATGGATAGTGATCCAATAAATTAATTCCTTTATAAACCAAAAATCATATTAAAACAGGAGAAAAATAGTCGAATTTTATGATTGACCATTTAGATCTCAACAACAATTATTACCTTTACAATGATTATTTTTCCATAATAAATTAATCACAAAATATATTTCTCATATGCATACATATCAAAACGACATAATAATAAATTAATCACAAAAGTAATATGATAATTCTTTACAAACTTAGATCAAGATGTTAATTCTTCATATATTGTCAAATATAATAGATTATAATGCTACATCTCCTAACCTTACAAAAAATATACGTATGCTGCCAATATACAGATTATTGTGAATAGGGCTGTACACCGGTCCAAAACCGGACCGGACCTGACCCAAACCTGAATGGACCGGGACCTGAATTATTGGTTTTTAAGGACCGGAGATCGAACTTGAATCAACAGTCCGGTTCCGGTCTGAAAAATAAGATCCAATCCGGGTTTGGACCTGAATAGACCTGATTACTAATTTGTTCCCATTTTTTTTTTTTTTTTTTAAATAAATAACTTGTTGGACCTGTTTAGACCTGATATGGACCTGTTAGGACCTGTTTAGACCTATTAAATAAAAAATTAAAGGACCGGGACCGAACCTTAATTCACCGGTCCGGTTTCAGTCCGATCCAAACAGGTCCGGTTTAGATCGGTTTTCAGGTCTGGGTCAGTTTGTGTACACTCCTAATTGTGAAGATTATTGTGACATATACATTGTTGATGTAAGGTAATTCAAGATCATCAATTTCAAGTTGTATAATTCTAAATCACTGAAGGCGGTATACCAAAGTTAATAAATACTTTCCCACTAATTGACATTTGTAATGTATAACATACCCACAAAAATGAAAAATCACATGTGAACATGAACGGTGACTAGATCTTTATAATTACTTAATTA